GTCTGGGTTGCATGCTCAATCCCCAATAGGAGGCGTGCAGGAGGCAGCCAGTCAATGATTCTCTCTCATCATTGATGTTTCTTCTCGCCTTTCCTCTCTCTGAACTCAATAAAAAATATATTTTAAAAAATAGTGAAAACATGTCCTCAAATGAGGATTAAAATAAGTTTATATGAAGAAAAAATGTAGGTTAATAAGGAAAACACTAACTTCTGATAGGTAGATGGACAAATAATATGAACAGATAGCTCACAGAACAAATGGATACATACCTAGAAGTGGGATTATTGGATCAAATAGTAATTTGATTTTTTGAGGAACCACCATACTGCTTTTTTTTTTTTTTTTTTTTTAATATATTTTATTGATTTTGTACGGAGAGGAAGGGAGAGAGATAGCGAGTTGGAAACATGGATGAGAGTCATCGATCAGCTGCCTCCTACACACCTCCTACTGAGGATGTGTCCACAACCAAGGTACATGCCCTTGACCGGAATTGAACCCGGGACCCTTCAGTTCCCAAGCTGACACTCTATCCACTGAGCCAAACCGGTTTTGGCCCAAACTGCTTTTTACAGCAGTTGCAACATTTTACATTCCCACTACAGTGCACAAATGCTCCAGTTTCTCAATATCCTCACCAATATATTTTCTTTTTTGTTTCTTTTATATTAGCCATCCTAATGGATATGAGGCGGTAGCTCATTGTAGTTTTGACTTGGCAATTTCCTAATGATAAGTGATATTAAGCATTCTTTCATATGTTTGCAGGCTAATCCTTTCTTTTTTTCTTTATTATATCATTGCACAAAACCACAAAAACCTTAAATTCTACCCAATATTTTTTTACTAGTCTTTTTCTAAGTAGTTCTTCATTTGACATATTCCATCTCATATAACCCATTTATTCTCATTCTTATTTCTTAAATAAATCTTTATTGTTCAGATTATTACAGTCATTCCTCCTTTTTCCCACCATAGCTCCCCTCCATCCAGTTCTCATCCCACTTCACTGTCTCATCCATAAGTGTACAATTTTTTTCCAGTCTCTTCCCACACCTTTTATACCTCTCCCCCCCCTCTGAATTATCAGTCCACTCCCTTTCTATGCTCCCGATTCTATTTTATTCACCAGTTTATTCTGTTCTTCAGATTTTTTATTCACTTGATTTTTAGATTCATTTATTGATAGATACGTATTTGTTGTTCAATGTTTTTTTTTAAAAATATATATTTTACTGATTTTTTTACAGAGAGAAAGGGAGAGAGATAGAGAATCAGAAACATCTATCAGCTGCCTCCTGCACATCCTGTACTGGGGATGTGTCCGCAACCAAGGTACATGCCGTTGACTGGAATTGAGACTGGGACCTTTCAGTCCCTCTATCCACTGAGCCAAACCAGTTTTTGGCTGTTATTCATAGCTTTTATCTTTACCTTTTTCTTCTTCCTCTTCTTAAAGAATACCTTTCAGCATTTCACGTAATACTGGTTTGGCTGTGATGAACTTTTTTAGTTTTTCTTATCTGTGAAGCTCTTTATCTGACCTTCAATTTTGAATGATAGCTTTGCTGGGTAGAATAATCTTGGTTGTAGGTTCTTGCTATTCAACACTTTAAATATTTCTTGCCACTCCCTTCTCGCCTGCATAGTTTCGGTTAAGAAATCAGCTGACAATCTTATGGGTACTCCCTTGTAGATAACTGTTTTTTCTCTTGCTGCTTTTAAGATTCTTTGTCTTTTGTCCTTGGTATTTTAATTATGATGTATCTTGGTGTGGTCCTCTTTGGATTTCTTTTGTTTGGGGTTGTGTGCTTCCTGGACTTGTAAGTCTATTTCTTCCACCTGGTGGGGGAAGTTTTCTGTTATTTTCTTCAAGTAAAAATATCTTGCTCTCTTCTTCTGGCACCCCCATAATTCAGATTTGGTACGCTTGAAGTTGTCCCAGAGGCTCCTTACACTATCTCACTGGTCAGCAAATTCATGAGTCAACAGAGCTAAATATCAACAGTACGACGATTGAAATTTTTTTTGAGAGCCAAATTTTTTAAACTTAAACTTCTTCTAATGCCACTTCTTCTAAATAAACTTGCCCAGGCTGTGGTATTTTGTAGATGAGCAATACTAAAAGGGCCAAAGAGCCACATGTGGCTCGTGAGCCACAGTTTGCTGACCATGGCACTATCTTCATATTTTTGGATTCTTTTGCTTTTTGCTTTTCCAGTTGGGTGTTTTTTGCTTCTTCATATTTCAAATCTGTGACTTGATTCTTGAAACCCTCTAGTCTGCTGTTGGACCTCTTGTATATTATTCTTTATTTCAGGCGGTGTATGCTTCATTTCTAATTGGTCCTTTTTCATATCCTCAAGTTTCTCACTAGATTTACCGGTCTTTTCTAGAAAATTATTGAAAAACCTTATAACCATGGTATTGAATACTATATCCAGTAGTTTGCTTTCCTCCATTTCTGTCATTTGTGACCTGTTTCTTTGTCTCCACATTTTGGCTGCTTCCCTGTGATGATAGAGTGGCTTTGTGTGCTAGGTGTCCTATAGGGCCCAGTGGCTCAGCCTTCCTAGTTACCTGTGGTGGACTCTCTTGGTGCACCCCTTTGTGGGCTGTGTGCACAGTCTTGTTGTAGTTAAGCCTTGGTTGTTGTTGGTTAACTGGGAGGAATTGACCTCAAGGCCAATTGGCTGTGAGGATTAGCTGTGATTACGATGGGAGAACTTCTGTGCTGGAGACACCCTTATGGGGCAAGACTTGCTTCAGTGGGGCTTTGATGCTCACTGAGTCTGCCCCCTGAGTGTGTCCCTTATGGATCTGAGGAATTGTAATCTGGGTGGTCCTACTCTGACCACTGGGTACACTGGCTCTTGGATCTCCAAGGAGGTGTTAATTTAGCCTCTGCCTGAGGCCACCCAGCAGGAGCTATGGAGAGATCTACAGATTCCTCTTTTTTTGTTTGGGGTTTGGAGGTGCCCAGCTGAGGCCCAGCTGTGAAGTAATGCAAGCTGCTGTGGGGCCTTGGGCCTTCTTTTGGAAGTTCTGTGTATCTCTGACCCAGCTGCAGTTCTTTAGGTAATTTTAGATTGCAAAGGGCCAATCCATTCATATGCAAAAGACTCTTTGCACATCTTGGGCGGGGCAGGGTCTCGGGGAATCCACCGGGCGGAGCAAACAGCAATGGCTGATCCTTAGCTCTGCCCTAAGAGGCCCCCGGGTCTCAGTGTCGTGTTATTTGCAGCACGACCCTCTGAGAGAAAGCCGCCCTCGAGTTCCGCCCACTGCCAGACAGTCCAGTTTCTCCCCATATGATTCTGGGTCCCAAGAGTTTCGCCCAGAACTGGAATTCAGAGCAGTCGGGAGCTTGTGTGTCCCTCTCAATTGAGAAAGCCAACCCTGTACTCAGTTGCCAGCCCTTCAGGCAGTCCTAAAGGCATGCCTCCGTACCTCTGCACTTCCGTAGTTCCTCTGAGTCTCAGTGTGCTTTTCTCTTTCCTTCTAGTGGTAGAATTTCCACTTAGCCAGCTTTCCTGTGGTTCTGGATGATGTCCGTTTTGTCTTTTAGTTGTAGTTTTGAAGTGGTTGTGCAAGGCAGCAATTTCATGTGTTTACCTATGCTGCCATCTTGGTTTCTCTCCTATTCTCATTCTTAAACAGCTGCCATATCCTACAGTTGATTAGATCAGCTAGATTTTTATAGAGCCTCCTTGCGTATAGATTTATTTAGTTTAGTTAGTTCAACTTCTACTCAATAAATTTTCTACATAAAACTGTATGTGCAATTAGAAACTGTCCCTAGGCTAGAGAAAGGAATGCTGTGCTATGTCCATGGACAGGATGACTATCATCCTATATTATAAAACTCTAATATGCAAATCGACTGAACAGTGAAATGACCAGTCGCTATGATGCACACTGACCACTAGGGGGCAGACGCTCAATGCAGGAGCTACCCCTTGGTGGTCATTGCACTCCCACGGGAGTGCCGCTCAGCCAGAAGCCAGGCTCACAGCTGATGAGTGCAGCACTGGTGGCAGGACCCTCTCCTGCCTTCCACAACAGTGCTAAGGACCTCTTGAGGGATGTCTGCCTGCCAGGTTAGGCCCGCTCCCCCCAGGACCGGACTGCAAGAGGGCGCAGGCTGGACTGAAGGACTCCACTTTGTCCCCCCTCCCCCCAGTGCAGCAATGTTGTGCACCGGGCCTCTAGTACTTAACAATATCTAAGGAAAAGTCTACTTTTTTTAGATCCTCACCCAAGGATATTTTTCCACAGATTTTTTTTTTTTTTTAAGAGAGAGTAGAAGAGAGAGGGAAAGACAGAAATATCAATGTGAGAGAAACACATGGATTAATTGTCTTCTGTACAGCACATCCAGGGCCCTTGTGGGGGAGGAACCTATAAAAATAGTGTAAGTCCTTGATTGGCATTGAACCTGAGATTGTTCAGTCCGTAGACTGACACTCTATCAAGAGCCTAACCAGCAAGGGCACCCCAATTCTTTTTAATGGAGGCACCAAGTTATCAATTCTTTTTATTATTTTTTTTAATAGATTTTTTTACAGAGAGGAAGGGAGAGAGAAAAGAGAGCTATGAGAGAGAAAGAAACACCAACCAGCTGCCTCTTGCACACCCCCTATTGGGGATGTGCCCGCAGAATTGAACCTGGGACCTTTCAGTCCCAGACCGACACTCTACCACTGAGCCAAACTGGTTTCGGCAAGTTATCAATTCTTATACAATTGTGCAGTGTACTATATATATTCTATAGCACTTTTCATTACCAGTGTTAAGATCCTATACTTAGATTGCTACACTCCAGAGCAGAGTTGTGGGAACATATTGAGTCTGGTTAAATTGAGCTCAGCCCATCATATAGAAAAGCTTTGTCTTGTTCTGAAAATGTATGCATGTTAAGAAAAGAAATGTCTTCAGATTTCCTAAAAATGATTAGGAAGCATCTTTTAACTGACCTTTTTTCTTTATAGTTGATTATGGAAGATTCCCACAAGAGTAACACTTCAGAGACAGCACCTCAGCCTGGTTCAACAGTCCAAGGAGCTCATATTTCTCATATTGCTCAACAGGTAAGGCAAGGACCAGCCAACATTTTGAGCCAGTTAGGAATATTTTATATGCAAATTAATCGGTTGTTTCAGATCTCTAATAACTAATATTTTTAAAAGAACCAAGCCAAAAACAAAAACGAAAAACTAAACTATAAAGTGTTGAAATACAAGGGAAGTAAATTTTATTTAAATGCGTGTCTCGGTGCATGCATTTGTGCACATTGAAAGGATATTAATTAGAAGAAATATTTTAATATTGCTATTCACCCTTTCTCTATAATTAAGGTGACCAAATGTCCCAAAAATTGGGACTTTTTAAAAACGCCTGGGACAAATTGTTAAAAATTGGGACTGTCCTGTCAAAAGTGGGACGTCTGGTCACCTTATCTATAATAGAAGTGTCAACCAAATTCACGATCTACAGTGACAGATTTGAGCACATGCTTGTGATTGGCGCAAGCAAGAGCTTTATATGTATTGCGCATGTGTGAGTTAACTTAGCCTTTTATATATGTAGAATAAACTTGCTTAATTAGACCTGCTTTCTGATTTAGCTAAAATTTTTCCAGCCCAGTGAAGCACCCCAACTTCTCTTTCAGGTAATTGTCAGCAACACAGCAGTAAATATCAACATGAAGCACATTATTGTACTAGTAGATCACACTGGGAGACAAAGGGTTTAACTGTAATAGTGTTTGACTATATTCTGCCCAGAGAAAACCTGAAGTCATTTTCAAGTTCTACCATTTCTTCTTTTCAGTTGGGTCAAGTTTCTACACTTTCTAAATCTCTGTTTTCTGGCTATTGAAAAGAAAATAGGATTCCATCGTGTCTTCTATTTACCTACCCCAGGACTTATGTGAAGATCAAATGAGATAAGGCATGTGAAAACGCTTCACAAACATTTGGTTAAAGTGTAAAATGTTTGCACCTGGTTACAAAGCAAGTTGTGTTCCTGGGCTGAAGAAACTCCAAGGAGCCTAGTGGGTAGGGAGAGGAAGCTGGGAGAATTGCTATGTGACGCCATTACCCAGTACTCACAGTGACCATTCCGGGGGGGCTGGGCTGGACTGGGCTGTAGGCCGCCTTTTGCATCATGGGGTCTTGGCAGGGTTGGCAGCAATTTGGTGTGGTATTGCTCTGGGGTGGTGGCGGGGCCCGTGTTCCACTTGGGGGAAGCTGAGTGTTGGTTTGTCGGCACCAGGTCTGTGGTGCCATTTGTTTTTAAAAGGCTAGTGTGCGCCAAAACCGGTTTGGCTCAGTGGTAGAGCGTCAGTCTGCGGACTGAAAGCCCCAGGTTCGATTCCGGTGAGGGGCATGTACGTTGGTTGTTGGCACATCCCCGGTAGGGAGTGTGCAGGAGGCAGCTGGTTGATGTTTCTCTCTCATCGACGTTTCTAGCTCTCTATCTCTCTCTCTTCCTCTCTGTAAAAAATCAACACAATATATTTATTAAAAAAAAAAAAAAAAGGCCAGTGTGCATCATGGCAGCACCTGTGTTGAGCATCTGCTCTCTGTGGTCAGTGCTCATCATAACCACTGGCCAGACACTTAGCCTTTTATATATAGATCTTGTCAAGATCATTCAGTTTTCTTTTATAAAACTGATAAGATAGTGAGTAGTTGAGGAGGGTGGAAGACTGGGCTTTGTAGAAGAGGGATAAAAAACAGAGGCTTCGGCATGGAAGTTGCCTATTGAAATTAAATTGTATCAAGAGTAGTATTGGAGAGAATAGAGTGAGTAGGTACTGAAGTCTTAAGGAAATGAGGGCACATGACACCACATGGTCTGCTGCTATGAGTCTCAAATTTTAGAGTTTTCTGGAAGGAATTTGGACTGTGTTCTGAGAGTAGCAATGAAGAGCAAAGGAAACACCCACCCTGTCTATAGGATCATGGTAGAGAAGTCAGGAGAGAGCATAAGGGAGGCAGTGTTCATCACTGGAGAGCTAAGGCTCAATTATAGCAAGAACGTGAAGGGGAAGGACTCAGTTCTTACTAAATTTAATTTAATTACAAAGTGTTCGTAGATTGAGAGGCAGTCTTCCTTTGTGGATAGAACAATGGATGCAATCAGACCTGGTTTGAATCGTGATTTTGTTACTTAGTAACTCTGGAACATTGACTGAGTCACTTAACTTATTTAGACTTGTTCATCATCTGGAAATTAAGGGCATCAGACTTGACGAACTTTAATGTCTTATCCAGCTCATAACTTCCAGTAATTCTCATATTGTACGTGAATTTATATACTTGAACCATGTGACAATAATGGCAAAAATCAGCTAACATTTATTGTCTATTGTGTACCGGGTGCATTTCTAAGCATTTTACATGTTTTAATGTCTTCAACCCTCATATCAACCTCCCTGCCTGCTTTTATCATTTCCATTTTAGAGATCACACAGCCAGTAAAGCTAGAGACAAGATTTGAATTTCAGCTGTTAGAAATTTGGTTTTACAGTTTGGTTTTCCCAAGAAGCCGACTATGAGATGGAGATTAGCATTCAGGTTTATTGGGGAGTCCTCTAGGGATAACCACCTTGGGAATGGAAAGAAAGGAAGAAAAGGAACCAAGATTGAGCAGAGGGAGGATCACTCTCAATGAAGGCCTCAACAAACCCTGTATCATTAGCCAAGATAATTCTTTAAGAATTGGGGTAAGGAGCCCGCCAGACCTTTGTATCCCTGCATGCACCAGTCATTGGATCTTGAGAAGGGGGGAATGTACAACCTTGAGCAAGGTGACTCTCATCATCCAAGGCATTTCCAAAGAGAACTGACAACTGAACACTGTCTGCCAGCAGCTGAGGATTAAGTCTTTAGTGAAAGGAGATCTGAGAAATACTATATCATAGTGTCTCCTACAACTCCAGTCCTTTGTTTCCTCAAGGCAGAGTATAAGGATAAGTGAGGATAGTTAAAGAAATTACATATAGACTTGACTCCAAAAAATTTTAAATGTTTTTTAATTGATTTCAGAGAGGAAGGGAGAGGGAGAGAAAGAGAGAAACATCAATGATGAGAGAGAATTATGGTTCGGCCATGTCTTGCACATCCCGCACTGGGGATTGAGCTCATAACCTGGGCATATGCCCCAACCAGGAGTCAATCCATGACTTCCTGGTTCATAGATCAATGCTCAACCACTGAGCCAACTGGGCAGCTCTAAAACATTTTTAAAACAGATTGATCTTCATTCATTAACAATTTTGACTTTAGAATTTAACCCAAGGTGTGTCCAGGGATATACTAAGAATGTATTTGTGTGCAACAGAGCTTTTGGTAATCCTTTTTTACCAGGTAATTTTCCACGTGATGTCTTGGACATTCTTGGTCAGCTGGGTTTTACTTTTTGGTAAGAACAGATCCTTCTGTAGAGTCGGTTAGAAATCTAGGTGAATTTATTCGGATGTTTCCAGCAAGATGGTATAAGGAAGTAGAAGAATAATTTTTCTTTATTTGCTTAACAAGGTCTTTCACAGAGCCCAAAGTTTTAAATTTTTATTAGGTCCAACTTATCAGTTTTTTCTTTTATGGATTGTGTTTTTGGTATCTCAGAACTCTTTTTATTTTATTTTATTTTTTATTGATTTTTCACAGAGATGAAAGGAGACGGATAGAAACTTAGAAACATCAATGAGAGATATACATCGACCAGCTGCCTCTTGCACACCCCCCACCGGGGATGTGTCCACAACCAATGTACATGCCCTTGACTGGAATCAAACCAAAGGACCCCACTGGTGCATGAAAGTATTGCATATTTTCTCTTTTTTTAAATTTATAATCTGTTTTTCAACGTCATTTTTTAAAAAATCCTCACCTGAGGGTATTTATTCATTTATTTTTAGAGGGTGTAGAAGAGAGAGGGAAAGACAGAAATATCGATATTAGAGAAACATCAATTGGTTGCCTCCACTCGCTCTGGAGCCTGCAAGTGAGGTACATGCCCCTGTCTGGAATTGAGCCTAGGATCCTTCAGTCTGCAGGCTGATAGTCTATCCACTTGAGCCAACCTATCTAGGGCAGCATATTTTCTTAGAATCTATTGTAAACTAGAGACCCGGTGCACAAATTTGTGCACAGGTGGGGTCTGTCCAGCTTGCCCTGATTGGGGCCAGCCCAGCCAGGGGGAGGGGCCATGGGCGGTTGGTGGGCTGGCCCCACTTCTGATCAGTGTAGGGTTGCCAATCAGGGGAGGGGCCACAGGCAGTTGGCCAGCCAGCCCCCCCATCTGGTCAAACTCCTCTTAGAACTCTGACAATTTGCATATTAGCCTTTTATTATACAGGATTATGTTTTATTGTTTTTGGACTTTACTTGTTGTTAGTATATTTTTTAAAATATATTTTTATTGATTTCAGAGAGAGAGAGAGGGGGGGGGGGAGAGGGAGAGAGAGATAGAAGCATCAATGATGAAAGAGAATCATTGATTGGCTGCCTCCTGCATGCCCCCTACTGGGGATCAAGCCCACAACCTGGGCATGTGCCCTTTACCAGAATCGAACCTAGGACCTTTCAATCCACAGGCCAACGTTCTATCCACTGAGCCAAACTGGCTAGGGCTGCTGTTAGTATTTAGAAAAGCAATTGATTTTTGTTTATTGATCTTGTACTTTGCAACATTGCTGAACTAACTTATTCTAGAAGTGACTTATTTATATTTTTAAAATTTTTTACTATTTTATGAGATTTTTCTATTATATAGACTGTCATGTCACCTGAAGATAGTTTTATTTTGTCTTTTTCAACCTGTATGCATGTTATTTCTTTTTCTTGCCTTATTGCACTGGCCAGAACTCTGTTGAATAGAATTGTAAGAATGGATATCATTCCTTTTTTTCTAATTTTAAAGCTTTCATTCTTTTATCATTAAGTCTGATGTTAACTATTTTCTACATTGTCTTTAATTTTTAATTTTTATTGTTTAAAGTATTACAAATAGAAGTACATACATCTTTTTTCCCTCCCATTGACCGTCCCCCAGCCTCCCCTACCACTTGGCACATGCCCTT